TAATTATTCATAAAAATTTTATTAAAGTTCGTCTATAGAATTTAATTATTTAAAAATTTGTTGATAAAATTCTTTACGAGAATTGAATTTTAAGAAACATGCAATTATTCAATAAATTTTTTTTGTATTTAAATAATTAAATTCTAGTTGAATTTTCTAATAAAAATTAATTTAAAAATGAATTTCAGTTAAAATTTTAGATAATAATTGAATATTAAAATCAATATAGCGTAAATTTTTAAAAATAATTTAATTTTTTTGAGAAAGTTTATGTTGTAAAGAAATTTGATAATTCTTGAAAATAATAATTTAGTTGATAATCATGTTATCACTCGGTCATGAATTATTATAAAACATAAAGAAACGATCACTCCGAGTCGAAGACTTGGAGTTATCGATATCTTCATGTTTTTTGGTTATGAAAAATTTAATTTGGAGTTTTAAGTAAAATTATTTGACTCTGACTGGTTAAATTTTTGTCAGTAATTGGTCCAACATTTTTAATTTTTTTTAAAACTATTTCGTATTTATATAGCTTACAATATGTATTAAGAAACAATAAAAATGTCTTATCTTAAATATTTTCGTTAAAAAAATTCTTAAAAAACCGTCCAATTTAAATGCGTTCTGGGTGGCGTAACCCCTTAAGAAGGTAGTCAGTTCGGTTAGATAGTTTCTTAAAAAAAAATAAAAGTAACTATTCTTTGTTGCTTCTATTATCAAATAAATTTTTGACTATCATTACTAAAAAGCAAGCTCCAGAAACAATTTGATTTAAATAAAAAAATCCGATTTAAATCCAAAAAATCGTATTTTTCATATTTAAAAAAAATCATGATTTTAACTGATTTTTAACAACTGGTATGAATTTATGCAATTCGTTAAATAGAATAAACTCTTAGAAATATATTGTGCAATGTAAGAATAATAATAATAAGGGGGAAAAAGAAAATTCTGAGAAAAGCATTTATCTAAATGGAAATCGCTTTTAATCGTCATTCGTATGCATCATCTGTATTTGGTGCCACCCATGACCCAACTGTGGCATATAAACAGCAGGGATAGTGTTACTTTACGATCTGCTGGAGGTACAATATACTATATTTTATTATTCTTTTTTTATAATGGCACGTGCCGGGAAGTGTCATATATAAGAGTCCTTATGATCCACAAAAGTATGTCTGTGGTAAACTGAGGCACATATAAAAAGATGATATACAAAAAGCACGATAGCATATTCTCGCGAGATGAAGATTAAATTCGAGAGGAAATATTCAGACGAACAGTCATAAATGCCGTTTGTAAGTGTTAGTGTATAGCACACGTTTTATCAACAAGGTACGAAAGATAAGCGGGTGCTTTTTTCTCTTTTTTTCGTACAAACATTCCATTATGATGGATAAATCTGCAGATTCACTTGTTAAATGCTGTGCTGCGCGCTTATGCTTCTAAAACTTGTATAAAGAAATTTTTGCTTTTTTTCCAATAAAACATAGTGAACCTATTATTTTGGTTTATTTAGAAAAGAATTAGTCTAAGAAAATCTCGTGTCAACAAAAGTATATAAAAATAGTATTTTTTGGATTATAAGATTTCAAAAAAAAGTTTATCAATTGCAATCGATTTTCTGGACCAAAAAAAGCATAGTATCAGTATTACAAACCAGAAATAAGTTAATATTTATTCTGGTGAAAGTTTTAAAGCACTTCTAATTCTTATTCGTTTCTAAATACGATTGCTCTCAACGCGGAAGAAAAAGTATATAGCGTGCTATAGTCGTTAAGATAATAAATATTTTTTTAGACAACGATCTCATCATTTCGACAGAAATTCTTTAATTTATTTTTTGCACATACACTAACGATATATATATATTATTTTGTTTTATAACGTCTTTTATAACAAATCAATAATAATAACAATAACAACTTTTTTACTTTAACACTCGAAATAATAATACAAACAATTGATAGAATTTATCTTTTGATATATTATAGACGGGAGAAACACTAGCAGAAAGAATTTGTCATTTATTAAACATAAATTGAAAAATAAAGAGCACTATATCTGGATAATTTGAAAAATTCCTTGAAGAACACCATTTGATAAGGGAAAAACAATAAGATGATGTATAAATATTTAGCACTAGGGGAAATACAAGTAAAAGAAATGTAAGAAGAGAATAAGAGCTGTTTCCCTTGCAAATATATGCACCTTTGAGCACTTGTGTGTAATATATGAGATAAGACATCGGTGTAACATGTCAGTTTATAGGCTATGTATAGCAACGGATTCATGATCCAGCCTTCTCAAATTTAATCAAAGATGCTAAGAAAAGAATCGTGTTATAAATATGCCATTGAACTAATCAGACATTTATTTTTAGCCTTCTATTATAAGATTAATGAAGAAAATTTGAAAAATCCATAACGTAAACAAACAAAATTTTTATATTATTTTTTCTATCCGGTTAAAAAAAATTATTCTATAAGTAAATTCAATATTTAATTTTAATAAAAATTCAATAATTCAATTTTTAAACATATATATTTCATTTACATATATAACATTTAACACATTTTTAATATTTCACACGGAAAAAACGTTTTACCTGGAACAGCGATAAGTTTCCCTATAATAGCGAAAGTATAAATATTGAAATAACTAAAAATTTTGCCAATATAGTAAAATTTTAATCTGTTTCAAACAAAAATTTTTTGATCGTGGCAAGAAAATTTTAAATTTTATTCATTGTTATTGTTTTTATATAAATTTTTAATTGATATTGATAATAATCGTCTGAAAAATCGAAATCTATAATTATAATCTAGTCTCATTTATTCATCTAAAATTTTGAAAATCTGCGTTTCAGTTCTTGAAAAGCTTTATATTCTCTCTGCGCGCTTATCATTGATGAGGCAAAGAAGATATTTTTATCGTCTTTTGCAAGGTTCCAGTTCTTATTCCTGATTATCTCATATCTCGATAATACTCGGACTTTTTTTCGATCAAATGAAAAAATCGTGTATTAGTATAGAATGTACACATGTATGTTTTGTGACTCAAAACAAAGCTATAATATATACTACAAAATTATTCCTTGGCGTTTTCACTTTTAGCGAATTTATTTCAAAAAATTTAATTTTCAATTTTTTATAATAAATATTGTTGGTGGATTTTTTCATATTTCATTTTTAATAAAAGTTTGACAAATATTTTTATTAACGGAAAAATAATTTTACCTGGAACAGCGAAAGTATTTGTTGAAACAACTAAAACTTTCACTTTTTATAGTGAAATTTGTAGCTGTTTCAGATAAAATTATTTTTCCGTGTTTACATTAAAATTATTATTTATTCATCATATGTTTATAAAAAATTCATGTGACATTTAAATATTATTTATTAATTAATAAAAATATGAGTTCTTATTATTAGGTACTATTATTATTTTTATCATCATCATATTATTATAATTATCATTCTTTTTCTTCTTATTATTATTTTTGTTGTCAATATATAATTATAATGGAATTACTTATATTATTCAATTCAACGATTATTATATTAAAATTTTGATTGCATTATCATAATTTTGATATAAATAAATAATGATATTGTAGAAACTGGTGCGCGGATGTTGCACACACGAAACATTCATTTTAAAAATATGAAAGTAATTGTTATTAATATATATTCTGACAAATGTTTAGTTAAGGTTTATGTGCCTTTGAATTGAAAACGAAACACCTAAGCAGATATTTATTATGTTAATTGATAAGAATTACTTCTCGTCAACTATTACAAATGAGAAAGGTATCTTAACTAAATAGATGTATAATGAGATCAGAAATTCTCCTACGTGACTTTTTCTAATGTAAAAAGTTATAATTTAACCTTCCCAAGATCAAATACCTTAGGAAAATATAAAAATCAATATTCAGTCTATATTTTAATAAAAAGATTAATCTATTTAAAATAATTTTTCTCAAATAATTTATTATTTCAATTTCGTCAATTTCAAGTACTCTGCGAAATAATATAATCTGTGTAAATAATTTCAAAAATAATTTAGAAAATAATCTAGAAAATAATAAAAAATAAGTAGAAAAATAATAAATGATTTAGAAAATAATAAATAAATAATAAAAAATAGTTTAGACAATAATTAAAAAAATTTAAACACATAAAAATTGGTCGACAACGCGGCGTCTGAATTTTGCGAAAATATTCTTTAACGGCAATAATCGCATATATAGAGATTAAAAATTCAAGACATTGCTGAGACTGAAAATAATTGCAATGCAAGGTGGGATTTAAAAAGGAACCTCACAAGCCGGAAATGGTCAAAGAAGTGCTCCGGAAGGCACGCTTGCTAATTTGAACGCTACTTGAGCGATACAGGAAGAGAGAGGCTGCGAATATTACCTCGGTTGGAAGTTACTCCATTAGGACGCAAACATGGATGGTACACACCAGGTTAATATGTGTACGTATTACACAAATACGCTACAAGTAGAATTAAGACAATCTTATATATACATCATGCATCGCAAAAAATTCTCATACAAATATACACACACGATTCGAGAATCACTAACACATGTTTATAAAGAAGCAATGAGTGTCCAGTCTGAGCAGTTACGTAAAGATAGACGAGTTTATTGCACAGAAAACTTTTGCTAATTAGTGCAAGAGAAACCAACAAGCATCGCCAGTGAAGATAGACTCTTTATAGACAATCATATTGTATATATAAAGTTTATCGAATTTCTTATCTACGCGCGAGAGAAATATTAAGATTTCAGGAAATTCAGACGCTGAGCGCAACGCAATAAAAATTATTGCTTTAAACCGTAAAAATCAAGAAATTGAATAAATATAAACTTTATCCAGTAAATCACTCCGTTTGTTCAAAGGAATAATATATTAAACCTTAAATTCAAAATATTTTGTTATCCATAAACAATACGGATTTTACAAATTGACACAAAAACTAACCTTTAAATTCTCAGCTGCAATCCGCTGCAAACTCCATTCCGAAATGTTGCTCTCAAACGATGATATTTTCTGCCACAGCACATACACTCGCGACTTTAAAATTTCCGAAAATCCCGAAATCACATAAGTAAAATATTTCAATATCCATAAACAATACTGTCTCAATAATATAAACTTGACTTGAAAACACGAACACGCGACTTTTTGCATAAACTCTCAGCAATCGATTCAAAACAATTCGAACACTCCCGATTCCCGCATTTTAGGAAAACTTTCGATTATTTAACTCTTTTAGAAAAATACAAAACGAAACACCGGTGTTTTAACAGTTCGGTTCACGAATTACAACTGATGATGAGTTTAGAATAAATTTCTTGCGAATCTTCGATCTCGAGAGTCCCACTGGGTTTATGGCTCCCGATTTCAGGTGAATTATATACATTATTCACACAATAATGAAAAGAAACATTTTGTAGGCTTATTTTGTGGGCAATATTCAGAGAAACTAACTCACTGTATAAGGATAAAACTGTGAAAATTGTTTTTTTTTTTACCCAACAACTGAAACTGCTCCGAAATGTTAGGTTAGATTGTTTGTCACAAAGACAAACGGGAAACAATGCACTGCTTTGGAATTGTTTATTTAGTGAAATTATATCATTGTAAACTGTTCACTTTGTTCTAAACGACGACTTGTTCACTTTTCACGATTTTCCTCGAGATTTAATACTTTTTTTGAGAAAAAGAGAATTTACTGAACAGGACGAGTCCACGCGACTGCAAGCGACGCTGAAGCACGAACTACAAAGATTCACCACTAGATGGGACACTCGATGAACACAGTTTTTTCTCTTATAATTCTAGTATTATTGGTTAATTTACGTATTTAACAAAAGTAGTTCTTATTATTACAGTATTATTATAAAAAGTGTCATGTTAATATTTAATTATTATTAAATTAATATTCCTCACTCCAAAAACTGCAAAATTCGAGAAACACGTATACTACAAATATTTATCGCTAGATGGCACATGCGAAGTGAAAATAGTTCCCGTAAGTCACGTATATAAAAAATATTAAACAATGGAATATTTAGAAAACTTCCTTCACTGAAAATATTGAATTAAATTTTTTTGTAATAACATTTTTTGAAGGTTTATTGCTTTTAATTAGAAAAATTACGAAATTGTCAAACGCTAGTGGAATCTAGTAATGTGCCGTTTCCGAAACTTATACTTTTCGAAACTTTCAGTTGAAAGTTTCAATGAAAAGTTTCAAATTAATTGAAATTTATGAAATTTTAGCCTCAACCTCTAATTTTTTAAAACTAATAATTTAGAAATTCTTTAGTTACGTTTCCAATTATTCCTTTTAACTGTAAAATGCAAATACTATATACTATTTTAAATGTTTTAATTTAAAATATTTATTTTTACAAAAATTTATTTCCTTAATTTTAATTTTCATAAATTTTTTTAAATTTTTATTATTTTAAAAATAAGATTTCAAGGATCACATGAATAAATAGGTGAATATGTTTACAATAACAAGTTTGTGCAGGTTAAAAATTCAAAATAAACACAAATTTTATCAACTTCTAAACATGATTGAGACTTGACATAACCAAAATACCATATTTACAAATTTCATGAAAAATTTCATCGATCATAAATTTCATGATTTGAAACCTTAAAAACGAAAGTTTCCAATTGAAAGTTTCAACGGCACATTATTACTGGAATCACGCGCGCGAAATGTAAGTACTGAAGTTGTCACCAGATGGCGCTTGTCCACAAAAACAAAGTTCTTTTTGCCGAGTGTTCTGTTTATTTAATCATTACTATTTTTTAATTATATTTGTTTTATACATTAGTTCAGTTTAACAAAGTGATATACTCATCAGATCAAGAAACAATATGAGAAAAGTATTCAACTACCTATATATATAATTTCAACAATAGTAAGTTCAACATTATGTAGAAAATTAGTTCTCATTGTTCATATTTAGTCAATTCATCAAAGAAACGATGAAATTATTATTCTATCGTTATAGATGGTTAATTTTAGTCACGCAGAGACATTTTTGTTAATATTTACTATGCTATTTTTAGAAGCAAATGCAAAATATGCTACGTGCCCTAATTCCCTTTGTTCTAACTTTCTAACCCCATATTTCAGACAACACAGTAAAAACGTTATATTATCATATTCGTTACTTTTCCGTATTGAAAACAAAAAACGAAAATTAGAAAAACTTATTTAAATTTCATTGATAGCATAATTTTTCTCGATTTTTCTTTATATAAATGTATTTATTGCTAATTTTATAATTTTCTGATTGGAAATGTTTATAACTCAGTCTCTTGAAATTTTAATACAAAAATGAAATCATCGATCTTGTCTATAAATTTTTTTGATTTCAAAATCTGAATTATATTATACGCGTACTTGAAGATAAGGTGTGCAATATACACTATAACTTTTTTAAAATCTTGTTGAAAATCTAATTCAACTATATCTAGTTTGTTGTTCCAGTCAAAATTCCTTATCGAAATTATTAAATACATTGTAGGAGATATATCCTGATATTTGGGTCACTAACTGTGTACCTCTTATCACATAACACATTCGTCTCACAAATTCCATATTCTTGACTATACTGATTACCTGAAGATCGATCATCTTACCGCAATGATTTCATCTGTTTTTACTTCTCGCTTTTTTCTATAAAAATTTTCATTGAGTATATAAATTACTTTGACAGGCAGTGAAATTTTTAAACAAAATAATTAAAATTCGCTTATTGCGAATGTCTTTTGTTTATACTTTTGTTTTTTGTTATCTTTAGATAGATTGTGTATTATATATTATTATTTGTTATAATTATTTTTATTTTATAATTAATTCAAAATTGTAATGATAAATAGAAATCATCAGAAATTTTTTCACTTCTTTTCATTAAAAGACTAAAATTTTGTTAAATATTATGTTTTGTCAAATTGAAATTATGCAGATTTTTGTTCTTTACTTCTAAGGAAAATTAGAAAATTGTTAAAAACTGTGATTGAGAAATAGAAAATTTATTTATTTTGCATTATTTTTCTTTATGAATCACAATTTTTTTAACAAAATTATTATTTTGTTTTAGAAAAAGAAGAAAAATATTTGCACAATTCCTATTTTTAATCTTATTTTTGGAACAGGTTTCTGACAGGAATTAAGACATTCAAAAATTTCAAATTCAAACCTTTTTTAAATTAAACAACTTACAAAAGTATTTTGCTATAAAACATTAAGATATTGATTGCTCCTAGTCGAAGACTCGGAGTGATCGATTTCTTCATGTTTTCTAATATTACCATATATAATTAAAAATGACCGTGAGATAAAATCATTATTTTATATTATAAGAATATATTGTTGCTGTATAACTTCATCAAAATTATTTTCATCATTTTAATTCAATTATTATTTTCTAGAATTTTAAATTATTTTTTATGAAAATAATAATTGAATTCCTTAAAAAAATTTTTTATTATTTATGAAAATAATTGAATTCCTGTGAAATTTTTTTAACATTTATGAAAATAATTGAACTTTGGAGAAGAATTTTGTTATTTATAAAGATAATTGGAATCTTTACGAGAATTTTTTTCAAATTTTGAACATAGTTGAATTTTATTATTTTCTAAAATTCTAATAAATTCTTTGAAATAATTCAATTATTTTTATAAATAGTAAAATTCAATTATTTTCAATACAATTTTTATAAAATTCAAAAATCAAATTTTTCATTATAATTATTAACAGAAACGATTATTTTAAACAGTTGAAAAAAAATTTTTTTTTAATTCAATTATAATCAAAGTTTCCAATTAAAATTTTTAAATTACTATACATTATTCCAAAAAAAAAAAATTTTTTTCAATACTTCAAAAGAATTTTATTTTTTATGAATTATTTGAATAAAATTAAATAGTAAAATATTAATAAATTAGAATTATTAACAAAATCGATTATATTCAGAAAATTAAGGAAATTTTTTGAAAGAATTCAATTATTCTCAATATTTTAATAAAATTTCTGGAATAAATTAAATTATTTTAAAAAATTGTAAAAAAATTCTGAGTAGAATTTAAATATTTTCTACAATTTCTTTAACAATTCAATATAATTTCAATAAAATTCTTCTCAAGAATTCAATTATTTTCAATTCATTTTTAATTAAATTTGTTAAAACAAATTTGCAAGAATTCAATTATTTTCAAATTTTCTGATAAAATTCTTTAAATTTTTAATATTTTTAAATATATTATTTTAAATTAAATTTGTGGAAAAAGTTTGCAAGAGTTCATAATTATTTTCAAACTGATAAAATTCTTTGCAATAATTGAATGATTTTCAATACATTTATTTTAATTAAATTCGTAGAAAAATTTGTCGAGAATTCAATTATTTTAATATATACCTATAACCTACACATACCTGTAATAAAATTCTTTACAGGAATTTAATTATTTAAAAATTTTTTGATAAAATTCTTTGCAATAATTCAATTATTTTCAATATATTAATTTTAAAATTGAAATATTTAATTAAAAAAATTAGGAGCCAACTATAGGTTATTTATTGGTAGGGGAACATAGTCTAGGTCGGCCACCTTTTTGACTTTTGTTTATAACTTTTTTTTAAAAATGAATTTGGACAATTGAAGTATATGGTTGGAAAGTCCTGTTTAATAGGAACATTTTTTCTGTACAAAGTAAATTGACAGGTTTAAAAATGAAAAAGTTATAAAGATTTAAAAAAAAAAAAATTTGTAGTCCAGGTTGGCCATTACAGTCAAGGTCGGCCATGTTTAAAATTCAAAGGGCATTAATCGTTAAAAAATAAAATAACATGTTTGGAGTTACGGAAAATTGATTCTTTATTGTTTACAGTTTGTAACTTAATGAAATAACAAAATAATAACAATAAACAATATAAAAAAATAAATATAAATAAAAAAAAATTTTGCACTAAAATATTAATAAAATTGAATAAAAATATTAATAAGATGATCAATTATATTATGAGTTATACAGAATTGCAGTTTTTGCAAATGAAGTAGCTCGTCCTCAACTTTGCGCATTTTAAACACATAGTGGCCGACCTTGACAGTAAGTAACATTACCGAATTGTTGTAACCATAAAGAAATACGTTTCGGGATTCGATTTTTTACTTTGTTTTCCTTTCAACCATGAGTCCCACAAATTTTCTGCATACTTGCCTTGACGATTCAATTTGTTTTTTATCTTTTATTAATGGTTTTTCACATTATGCACAAAACTTTTTTTGAGCTTTTTTTGTACCGACGTCACAGAAAACACAATTTTCGATTTTCCGAAAATGTAATTGAACAAAAAGTTAGGTTTCACTAAGACAAGCTTCGACAAAAATGCGCGTAGGTGGCGCTAGTGAACTTGACAAAAAAACGCGAGTGGCCTACCTAGACAGTAGGCCAACCTTGACTACATTCCCCTAATAATAAAATTTTGTTTATAATTGAAATATTATTTAACATAGATAAACTTATTTTATTTACGTTTTTATTACAAAAGACATAAGTATAACATAAATAGATATTTAGTAGATAAATTATAAAGTCATTTTAATTATTACAATCGACAATATTTAGCATAATTTATTAATAATTATTAGAATGTAATTCCAATGAAAGTC